CTTCTCGAACAGGATGTGACAAAGCCTGGTGTGTTTTGCGCCGAGAGCCGAAGAAATTGCCATATAATGGCCGATTTTCGGTAACTATGGTGTCTGTGTCTCAGGCTCCTGTGAAAGGACATTTCGGTATACCGTCTGTGCACTTTAATTCTCCTGAACCTCATGTACAAACCGTAAAACGCCGTAAGTGGCTTTTCCAGTGCTTACTTAGTTTGTCAGCCTGTAATTGTGTGTTTTGCGCCGAGAGCCGAAGAAATTGCCATATAATGGCCGATTTTCGGTAACTATGGTGTCTGTGTCTCAGGCTCCTGTGAAAGGACATTTCGGTATACCGTCTGTGCACTTTAATTCTCCTGAACCTCATGTACAAACCGTAAAACGCCGTAAGTGGCTTTTCCAGTGCTTACTTAGTTTGTCAGCCTGTAATTGTTTGGCGTTGGGTTGTGTTTCTCTTGAAACGGACCACATAAGAATCGAAGCCAGCAGCTCTTGAAGATTCTCACTTTAAGACTGCGGTTCAAAAGGTCAAAGCAAGCACATACCACGTTCAATATTTCCTCCTCTGCTTCAGCTTTTCCTTGCCTTCTTCCATGTACCTACCCACCCCCACAAGCTTTATGTACAAACAAATCTTAACCCCCAAATTTTGCTGAAATGCTCTTACTAAAGTGACCGGAACTTGATTCATGGCCATTGACTGAAGTAGTTTGTCCGAAGAAATTACATGGAGTGCTTGTTTCAATATAGCCAGCAACGGGACTGGCTCCTAACTGTGAAACTTCTTGGCACACATCCTTAACATTGCCTGGGTACGCACAGCAGATGCAAAATGCAGCTTTTTTTAATTATAATTTTCCATGTTCTCCGTGCATTTTGTGATGACAGAGTTCTTTATTACATGCATGGTAACTTTTATTGTATCTTTGCTGCTTGAAATTAGAGACTCTTCTCCATTTCAAAATAACCCGAGTAATTTTTTGTCTTCAAGAGAACTTAGTACATCTGTTGATTTCAAGGAAGTGATTTGACTGTCTCCCTAGTAGCCAGACTCTTCATATGACTAAAGAGATGAAGTAAAATCTTCAAATGAGCTTGACTGTAGGATAAGATAGTGTCTGTGGTATTAGTAGTTCTGCTGCATTCTGCAAAATAATGAAAACAGGAAAGCAATGTCATACAGATCAAAACAGCTTGCAAGGCTTTAGTTTCTTCATTGGTAGGTAATTGGTTCAAATTTAGGTTAGATGTGAGTTAGGGAGCTGCACTTTCTAGCAGTTGGTTCAACTGCATCTTTTCTCTTTTAAAATAATTTTCATTTTAAGGTGTGGATTATATTAAAATAAAGGACTGGATCAGAGCATGAGACAGCACCGTATTTGTTATGTAGTATAAGAGCGTAAAACTTTTCCTGTGTTGCGATGAGAATGTGTCATAGGACCTAAATTGGATGTTTAGAAGCAGAATATGTTATATTAGAGATCATGTAACTTGTTTATACTGGTAACGTGGAAAAGAAGCTCTTTATAGCGTTCTACGTTATGTATCAGCTCTTTGAGGAGAGATGTCTGAATAAATACTGGGACTGAATTAAACTTTTCCCCAAGGTGATAAATTTCAATTTGTCATTTGAAAATGAGCTGGACAAAGCTAGGCATTTAAGTAGTATACCAGTGAAGTAACTTTATGAGGTAAGGTGTTTATGGAGAAATATTTAGGAGAAAACATTATATGGGTAAGGTGATGATGAACAGATGACTAATTTATAATTCAAACTTCCTTTTCACAGCTTTCTTCTGTTTCTGCAAAATTCAAGAGAAGGTAGAATTAATTTATCCCTTACGACAGACTTTGTGTTATTGAGTTCTACAGAACTTGAATATGTCTCATCAGATACCATTAACAACAGCAAGACACACTATCTTTTATATTCTGAAACCACATTTATGGTAAAAGGTGGACATTTAATGGTTTACTGTTACTGATTTTTTTTTTAAAAAACTGCACTTGTATAATTCAGTATTTTTTCCGAGATATTAAGTTAACATGATTCTGAGAAAAGGGATGTAAAATAATTCCTATGTCTTCTTTACAGATGGAAGTAACATGAGGGAAAAGAAAAGAAATAACTGTAGGATAGGATTGAATGAGTTAAAGTTAGACTAGGCAATCGGGGCATTAAAGTGGAAAAACTGAGTCCTAACTCTGCATGTACCTGTTTGTAAAACTCTTAACTCATAGTTTCTTGTGCTTAAAAAAGAAAAGTTAAGGATTCATTGGGGACCTTTCAGTATAATAATTTAGTATTCTGTGTCTTGGTGTAGTTGTGCAAGTGTTAACTGAGGTAATTGCTACTTGGGAGCTTTGAATACAGAGCTAATTATTAAACACATTGGGGGGGGGGGGGGGGCGAATTGTCAGATTCTTTGGGAACTGTGTCACCATGCAGCACGAAACCATTTACCTGGTTTTTATTTTTTTGTTGTTGTTCTTTTTGTTTTTTTTTTCTAACCACTGTTGGTTTACATGCTGTATGGTTTTTTTTGTGTGTGTTCTTGAGAAACTATGTTGCGAATGACCCTTTCGTGTCCCCCAAAGGCTTAGCCAATTGAAACTAAACCTGAAAGAGGAATAGTATGTAAACGATAAATAAGACAAGTTTTGAGAGAACTGGTATGAAGGTAATAAGAAAAGTAAAGGAATGCAAACCTGTAGTAAATTGGGATTCATTAATTTTATTTTTTTAACCTGTTTTTGTAACATGACTGTCATGAATTAGTTAAACACAGTAGAAGCTTTTTTTGGTTTTTCTGTCTCTGATTATGGAAAGCAGCAACACGCTGTATTCCATAGTAAACTTGAGAACTCCCAATCTGACAATCAAAATCTATTGGTCTTGATGGAGATTCCATTTAAAAAGTCAATTCTCAATTTTTCTGCATCTGTGGTTTATAAGAAGTTCTATGCTATGCTAACTGAGGCAGCTTGATATTCAGCCACCAACGATCAAAGTAGAAAGCTAGTAAATGGGGAATGTGATGCGGTCACAGGGGTGGTGTTCCCCTGGAAAAGCGAACTACAAGCTTGAGACTTAGAGACACAACTGACAGACTGTGAATAACTCTCTTGAGAAGAGTAAAGGGCTTAGAAAAGCAATGGTTTTAGCAGCAACTGAAAGCATTGTAAGTATTTTTTCTCCAGGTAGAGGAAGAGGATGTTTGACTCAGTTTAAAGATAAATGGTTGCAAGTGCAAGTTTGTGCTTCCCATTTGTACTTTATTGTAATCTTAATGCTTTGTGGTACAACTGCTGACCATCATACGTGCTACATCAAGATTCTTATACCTGGGTCTTGTCGATGGTCACTGAGGCAGTGGAATCAGAGTGAAAACGTAGAATCTGCAATTTACCTTACATTATTTGGAGATTTAAGACTTAGTTTTTAATCGTGATAGTTAAATCAATTTAAACTTTATGACATGGAATTAGCTCATAAATTTACATTTAGTGTTACAGTGCAAATGTAAACGTGTTTATTCTTGGACCACTAGAAGCAGTAGTTCCACTTCATGGTGGCTCAAAAGATTAAATGTGATTTGGTGCTCTGAAACTTCTTGTTCTGAGAAGGGTGGGTAATAGCGATTTGGAGTAAGAAGTGTGAGTGGAGGCTATGCTTTTGATGAGTATTGCTTGTTTAGACTTCATAACATTTGCAATTTGGCTAAAAGAGGCGTTTTTTGCAAATAGGGTCATGGTGATTTGCAGAATTTGCCTTCCCTCCATTGGAAGCTGCTGTCTCAAGTGCAGAGTCAGAAGAAGAAAACATATATCCGTAACTCAGCCTGCCTCAGTGCAAAGTCCAACAGCTTAATAAGAATTGTGGATAAGAGTAGATTTAAGCAAAATCTCTGGGCTTTGCACTTACATAGCTAATGTAGCCTTCTGCCAACACCATTGAGGTGATGGTGGGTCTTGGCACAAGAGTAGAGTGGGTAACTGGGGCAATAATTTCTTAAATTTAGGAAATAGTTTAAAATTCTTGACTAGTTTCTGATTTCTGAACTCTGAGTCATATCTTCAAATCGTTCGCAGCACCCTGTGTATATTCTTTGAAATGAGATTAGCTTTTTTCTTTGTCTTTATCTTCAGTATAACCCCTAAATACACTAAAACCATTTGTGTAGGTAACGCCATTTTTCTTTCACTGCTAATTTTAATAAATCTTGTCGATGTTCTACTGGGAACTGTTTGGGTTTTTTTGGGTGGCGTGGGTGTAGAGTTTGTCAGTGTGTGTAGCTTTAATTGGCAGTTCACTAAATGATCTTAATCTTAATTTACTGGAAAATTGACATATATGTATCATGTACACACATTATGTTTTCTTGTAAAGATCTAGGCATCCTACAAATGCTCGCTTGAAGCTGAGCAGTCTGAGAATAGTGTTGGGCTTTAAGCACTGTGCTATTAAAAACATTGTTTTTCAGCACAGATGGAGTATTTGAGGGTTTCAGAGTTCACTTAAAGTGTTTTTCTAAGGCTACCTGACACTTCATTGGTGTACGGCTAACATTTACAAGTTTCATGGCTTGCAAGCTCTTGTGAAACTTCTGCTGCACCAAGTCTTTTTTGTTGTTGTTGTTCATGCTTGTGTGTAGCTCTAAAAGAGACCAACACTTAGACAATAGCAAAGTTAAAACTGTTAAATTTTGATTTGAGCATTTTGGGAGTTTATTATCCCTCAGGGAGCTTTGGGTTTGATGGTAGACTTTTGGGTTTTGCCCTCTTCTTTCATGACATTAACAATTAGAAGATTATTTTTTTTTTCAAACAGACAATGACAATGCCAAAGAAGCTGCGTTGGCATGTATAATCCTGTTCACAGTATCAGAATATAGGACAATTATAGATAGGTTTCTTAATTAGTTTGCTGTAACAGCAGTTTATGTCTTGAAGGAGGTGGCTTTTTAAGAGTCTGGTTTCATTCTGAATAAGTAGGTAATCTCAAATTCCATTTTATGGCAACGCTAAGGAAACAGTTGTATTATTAATAGTCAGGTCATCAAATCACTTAAAGCTTAATATATCGCAGTCACCAAGTAGGAAATTAACTTGGAATGTTTAAGAATGTTATCAAACAAGGATAAGATTTGGTTTCTTGTGCAAATACTATTTACTAAATTCTTTGAGGTTTTTATTTTTGTTTGGGCAAAATTTTATTGAATGTTTTAAGTTTCACAAATAAGCATTTTATTCAAACTGTTGTGTAGTAAGTGTTTAGTACCTACTGTTTATTTAGGTGCTTATGTGTGCAAGGCATTGGATTCTAGTGTAAAGAGTTGCATTTTAAGTTGCTTTTATGTGTTCTGAAATGCCTGGCAATAAGAGTTGCACAAACAGTTTCAGAAAACTACAGTGTATGCCTGCAATGTTGGTGATGCTTCTCAAAAAATGTCTTTGAGTCTCCATTTTTTTGCTGGTTTTTTTTTAAGGATCACATAGTTACCACATATCTTACATCTTACATTGAAAAACAGCAAGCTTAAGTTTTGATGTAGAATCAGAAGAGCAAATTTCAGTGCAGAAGGCCGCCTATAAAGATCAAAATTGGAGTCTTCTAACGAAAGCATCTCAGTGAATAGAAGTGGTGTCCCTAAGAAGAAACTGTATGTGGAGTGATGGCAGGAGTTTCCTGATGTATGTGTGTTTGTCAATGCAAAGGAAATGTGTTAGCAAAGGGACAAGGGGCTGGAATGAGGTAGACTGAAGTGTCTTCCATGGACAGTGCCAACTCCTCTTGGTTCAGGTGCATGTGAAACTGGCCTTAGCTGAAGGCTGAGTAAGTGAGACCCTTCCCCAGCTTGAATGCAAAGTAGCAAACGTGATCAGTTAGAAATGATGTGCTGCTTGTAGATTGTTGCTAGGCATTTAAAATCATCCTGACTTGCACAGAAGAAACTTTCAAAGTGAATGTTAAAACTTAATTAACACAAATACTAAGCAAGATGACTAGAAACTTGTGAGCCTGTAGATTGTAGATGAAAATGTGTTACTGACCTTGTTTTCTTCACTGCTTGTTCTCTCTCAGTGCTGGATAGAGGAGATGGGGAGAAACATACAGCAGTACATCAACAATGACTTAAGTGTTTAAAAAGTTGTTTCTTCGTAGGACAAAAACCTAATACTCTGCATGTAAAATGGCATGTTTTTAAATTAGCAGGTTGTAGTTCATATTGTGAACCTAATCAAATTCTCTGTTTATTCTAGTTGGTTTGGATGCTGCTGGTAAGACAACTATTCTTTATAAACTGAAACTAGGAGAAATTGTCACCACAATTCCCACTATTGGTAAGATAACCGATTCTCATGTCTTTATTCTTTTTACTCTAAATTTGTGTTGTAGAGAGGGGCTTCTGAAGAGTGTAGGGATTTGCTATCTTTGCTGTTAGTATAAGAATCAAGACAAACATGGGCTTTCTGGTACTGCTGTAACTTAACCGTGTCAGACCAAAGATACATCTAGACCACGATTCTGTGTCTGACAGTGGCCAGCAGCAGATGCTCAGGAGTATAGGAACCAATTAAGCAGCAGTACTTCCCCCAAACACCTGAAAGACTTGCTGAACCAGAGGTGGTGTACTTGGATTTTATTGATTATTTTGGGGGCTGGGGGGAGTCCCCCTTCAGTCAATTTTCTTCTTGATCTAGCAATTCAATTCTGATAAGGCATTTCATATATATATTTGGGAGAAATAAAGCTTAAGAAGTAACTATCTTTAACATGATTAGAACTACATTTTAACACTAATGTTAACTATTTCTAAATATTTGACTCTTTTAGGTTTTAATGTGGAAACGGTAGAATATAAAAACATTTGTTTCACAGTTTGGGATGTTGGTGGTCAAGATAAAATTAGACCTCTTTGGAGGCATTATTTCCAAAACACACAGGTAAGAGTTCTGACATGGCAGTCCTCAAGGACCTGTTTTGTATCTATCTCATTATATGTGGAAAGTTGTCTTCTGTCCCTTGCTTTCAGAAAGGCTTCTCACTACCTCCTGCAAGTTCTGAGGGATGCCCAGATTTTATTCTAGTTGAAGCTGGTTTGTTACCCTGAAGGCTCAGATTCAACTTGTGAGTGTAGCCTGGCATGGATAAAGTCCTTCGGGATCTACCAGTGTTCTGTAATGTGCCAGAGCAGCTGGTTTGTTTGTGAGGAACTCTTCAACTTTGCTTTATCCATGTTTTGATCTGATTGAACTGGCATTAGCTTATGTATAAGAAATGTTATTGTCTAAGCACCCTTTTACATATTCTTTTTCTTTTCTAATAAGCCTCAAAATATTCGGCTTTTACTGTGCTATACTTTTACACTGATATAGTGTAGTTAGTACACTGAGTATCTAAAAACAACATAAAAGATCTTGTTACTGACTGATCAGAAAGTATCCACTTCATATTGATGTGACTGCTGTCATTTTTGGTGATATAAACATGATTCTTTGCTTTAGTTCACAAGTAAAGTTGCTTATTAGTGTGAGGAATCTTTGGGAATGGGTTTGTTGTTGGTGGTTTTTTTTCTGTGTGGAATACAGAATTGTTTCCGTGAAACTTCTGTGCAGCATAATGGATGTGATTGGTGCAGAAAAATGGAGAAGTCTGGCTTGATGTAAAGGAGCTAGCAAAACTGTAGTGAATAGACTAATACTTGATTTCAGTTCCTTATTCAACCCTGTTACTAAATATTTTTAAAAGATGCTTCTGTTTTCTTAAAGAGAATGATAAAATGTAAGGTTTTCAGACTGAAATTTTAAGAGTAGTGTGTTGGTTAGGAGGACACTTGAATAACAGAGATGCCATTAGAAATACTGTTTGATATAAACCTTTTCAAAACAAATTTAGGCCTTACTTTAAGGGCTTTTTTTTTTTCTTCTGTGAAATGTGAGATGGTGAAGCACTTGTGATTCTCTTGCTGCATTTAAGCTGCTACAATGAGTGAAAAGGGAGAGGGGAGAGTTAGCTTCTGAAATTTTCCTGGTGTCTTCCCCCCCAAACTGATGAATCCCAGACTAATCTGTAAATTGACATTTGTGTTACTTAACTTTTTTGATTCAGAAGGCCTAGCTTTATTTTGCAGTTGAAACTTATGTATTTGTTCAGGCAGACATCTTGCATAGCTTAAACAGAAATTTCTGTCAAATTTGCTTACCTAAGAGAGGGGACAGTCATGATATTCAATAAGAGTTTTTTGCTTTTTAAAATAGCACTGCATGTTTACATTGTTTTCTCAAAACTGTTAAACTTCTTACAGGGCCTCATTTTTGTGGTAGACAGCAATGACAGAGAGAGAATCCAAGAAGCAGCAGAAGAGCTGCAGAAAATGGTAAATATCAATGCCTTCTGAAATATAATTGTTATACTTTGTTGTATTTTTAGATGTGTATCAGCTTCCCTAAGAGATTTAGGATTTTAAAATTTTAGGGAGTTTGTACAGTGCTTATTGTATTCAACTGATAATTCTGGGTCACATAGTGCACTGAGCTGTAGCTACAACTCTGTAGAAAGCTTTAGCTCAAGATCTGCTATTGTGTCAGAACCTTTCTTTCCTTCATTATACCTTAATAGAAATGCAGCAGATGAAGGAAGAATTTTGGAAAAACAAATTGGTGCTGTGGATTTCAGCAGCAAGGTGCTGGTAAATTTAAACTGCTTATTGAAAGAATATTTCCTTGCTTGTAGGAGTTCTGTTGGGTACTAGTTAAATTTCACTCGGTACTTACTAGTGACTTCAGGAGCAAGAATGAAAAAGTTTGTAACTCTTTAATCAGTATTTAGGTTTCTTTAGTGCTTGTTGAAGTAATTGAAGCAGTTAACTGAGCTAATTTAATAACACGACCATTTTTTCTGTTAGCTTCAGGAGGATGAGCTGCGAGATGCAGTGCTGCTTCTGTTTGCAAACAAACAAGATCTGCCCAATGCCATGGCAATCAGTGAAATGACAGATAAACTAGGTCTTCAGTCTCTGCGTAACAGAACTGTAAGTGTTAAACTTCCTGGTTGCTGAACTCTTCTCTTCCTTCATTATATATCATAAATGTAATCTCCCTTTAAAAGAGAGGGAAGTTTTCCCCTCTTTCTGTAGAGAGATGCACATACCTGCTATTAAATTCCGTAGTGCATAGTTTAAGGTCCTGGTTCAAAATAACTGATTTAGAAGTGTAATCCAATTTGTACAGCTGTTGCAGTGTTTTGTCAGTCACCTTCTCTTGGAAAAATACAAATATTTTGACAAAGAATGTGGTGGGCTTTCCTGTTTTCCCATTACTTGTTATTTTGGGGGAGAAAATGCATTCTGCATTCTCACCACTACAAAGATGGGAGGAAATTAAGTAGCTCTTGAATTGCTAAATTCCACCTGCACAAGCCTTTGAGACATAGGGTTGCTTCACATAAACCTTCTATCCTTCTGTAATACTTGCTTAATGTCTTTATATTGACAAGCTAAGATCATATCCATAGAAGATGTTTTAGAGGTCTGTTAATTCAGATTATTCCATGTCTGTTTTCTGAAGAGCAGTCTTTCAAAAACTAGAAGCTAGTTTTCAGCAGATAAACCAAATGCAAGTTCTATATTTGTCTTTTGAGGCGCTAAATGGTGTTCTAGCCTTTGGTAGATCAACACTGAGGTTTTGGATAATGTCTGAACCCCATCTACTGCTTAAATACTTTTCAAAACTTATAAAAGTACTATTTGTTCAATATTAACTCTACTTACAGCACAAAACAGCGTTTAAATAAAACTATTTGAGTTTGTATGTGAGTGTCACATACTGTGAAAACTTAACTTGCATTTTGTCAGTATTTAAATTTAATTTTTGCTTGTGTTCTACATTAACAGTGGTATGTCCAGGCTACCTGTGCTACGCAAGGAACTGGTCTGTACGAGGGACTTGACTGGCTGTCAAATGAACTCTCAAAACGCTAACTCAAACTGGATGATTCTTTCACCAGGGACATGTTTGATATAAGTGGTCTAGGCTTGTTACAACAAAATTAGTTTGCATCTTGGTTATTACAGTATCTGGAACTGATATTTGGGCAGGATATTACAGCGTTTCAACTTATTTTGTTGCCAATTATTGTTTACCAAGCTACATGTTGCAAAGGTAGCAATATGCTTGGGTAAAAATCTCCTTAACTTGGAAAAAGTGTATCTTCTGATTTTATTCCCCTTGTTAGCCTAAATGCCTGAATATAGTTATTGTGACATCTTTAAGATCTGTTTTGAATACTCTTTTGAGCCCCAATAAATTAATGTTTTAAATTTTTTTTCTCCCTGCTACTTTTAGTTTACTGATGCCCTGTTTCATTCCTCAGACAGTCTGCTGATTTAAAAATGTAGCATTCCGTATGTATTTATTTCTCTCCCTTGCCAAAAAGAATTCCTAATACTGCTTGTTCCAGCCAAGGAAATCATCTAAAACACTATACAAATCTACTGCACTGAGGAACATTTTATTAATCCTTGGGTTTTGTCAGCCCAACTTGCCTTTTTGTGAATTGGATTTGATGGGTAGAATAGTTCTGTGCTGGTTGCGAAGAGCTCATGTTGAGGTTGTTTTTAATATTCAGCAGATTGTCTTCCTTTATATTGTATCTTTTTTTTTTTTTTATGTTGCATGTTGCTTTTTGGTATCAGCCTGACTATTTTTGCCCAGTGTATAATAGTTCTGCTGAAGTTTTACTGTTTGTTGGTGAACATATCTTCATAAAGAAATTTTGGGAAATTCATCAAACTCAATGGATTAGTTTCTTCATAACCCACTTGGAATTATTCCTAATAAAATTATAAAATGTATAGTTCTGTGTATGCTCTTCTTGATTCCTGAAATAGTTGAACTGAAAGTTATCACTTACTCTTTTTCCATATACTGAGCTTCCCTGCAGCTTGAATGTGAACATCAGTCTCAGATTTTCCTTGTTTGGAGCTATGTAGAGTGGGACACGGAAGGTGGGCAACAAAGTTGTATACAGTGCAGTAGAGTAGCTGTCATCAAGACTTGTATAGTTCTGTAAGTGTCTTTTGAAGTTGTAAATCTAAAATTCCTTTTAAGATGTCCAGATATGAAAATACTAACAGTTACAAAAATTGTAATAAAACAAATACGAACTGCCTGAAAAGCATGCATGTCTGTTTCATAGTTGTATCTATATTTAAAAACCAACATGGGTTCTAGCAGGAGAAATCACAAATTCTGTGTTGGCTAGCTGGAAAGCTAACTTGAACACTACGGGGATTTAGTCAATATTATATTAATGGTCATAGCCACCCCAAAAGTCAGCTCTATGCAGCAGCTACTGTCTGCTTTCATATTTCTGCCCTTTTATACCTCTGTAGTTCAAATGACATAAATTAACACGGTTTTTGAGGCTGCTACTAATACATATTTTAAAATCTAATTTTCTATTGCCTGTCTGCTGTATGGATGCAAATATGGCTCGATCTTCCAACTGAAATACTCTATTAATTGCATGTCTTTAGGAATCCAAGGCATGATTTCATTGCAGTTTTAGGCTAAGCTCCTTTCTTATTTTTAGTCTAGGTTTTGTTATCCTTGCTACAAGAAATCCCAGTGACAAGGTCTGGTAAACTCAAGCTAGTTTAGACTAAGAGCACCTTCCAAGGCAGCCTCTGCTGTAGCTGAGGTTCAGGTTTCTAGGAAGTACTGTTACTGTGAACACAACTAACCAGCGAACATTCCAGAGCTTTTGAATACAGTCATTAACTGTCTTCAGTATGTAACAGAAACCCAGGAGACAGTGTAAGGTGAGTAGTGTTTTGTTTGCACCTTTAATGAATTGCTGATTATGTATTAACCAAAGTTGACGTATCCATTTATTGGATCAGTAGCTGTTAATATGCATATTTCTAGCAATGCAGTTCCTTGAACTAAACCTTAAAAGGAACACCTTGTTCAGAAGAGGTGGCTTGTCTGTAATATGGCTTGTATTGGTAGTCCCAGTAGGTTAAAATTAAACGATGCTTGTGACAAATTAAATGCCATCTCTTCTTCCAAGGAAGAACTTAGAGGTAGACTTAAACAAGCAGATACTTAGAAACAAATTAGGCCTGTTATCTTGAAGGGAACATGCTGTTTGGTAAACAGAGATGAAGATTTCATTATTTAATTTTTTTCAAATGCTTTTAAGTAATTAAATACTCAGGTTTACGTGAGCTATGTTTAGCCACTGCACTTTTGAGTTACAGCACGTGCATAGAAGTTCACATTTCAAAGAGTCGCCATGCTTGGCTTTGTGTACCAGTAAGTTGTAATTCTGCTATAAAATAAGTAATTTCACAAAATCAAAGTCAGGAAGTAGTAAAGATCTTGAGCCTCATTTGAGAGTGATGGGATCTGCATGAGGGCTTAAGGCTACAGCTGACATTGAAGTGTAGTAAGTCAAAATTCTTCGGTGTAATTGAGTAGTCACAGTAGTGTAAATTGGAGCATAGAGAGGAGCTGAGGCAAATACTTCAATCTTCCTGGAAATACATAAAATCATACTTGACCTCTGTTACTAAAATTATATTTGCCTCTTAATACTCTGTAAGGTAATAACCTTGGAAGCAAGGTCTCTGCTGTGCAGTTTATTCATAGTAATATTAAGCTGTGGAAGGGACAAGGCACTTGATGGGCTGTGGAATAATGTCGCAATTGACACAAGTAAATAAACTTTCCCTCAGGTTATTATATTCTCATCAACTGTTCTCAATTCTCTAACATTTTCAAGGTACACTCTAAATTATGTGTTCTCGATTCTATGCAGCAGTCCCTGGGGCTGGTGCATGTGCTTAGAAAGCCGCCTTGTCTTCCGATGACAAACATGAAGTAGTTTGTTATGCATATTCTTACTGGTTGTTGCTGTGAGCTGAAATCTTGGTGGCTTTCTTTTTCCTTTGGAGTTAGTGCTACTTTTGTAGCTAGTGCTTGTCTGTTAGTACAAGAACAAATAGTCCTGATAAGTTGTTTGTTTTTTTTTTTATTATGCTGCCTTATCTCTTTTATACCAGGATCACATGTGGTATTGAAATCCGTATCATTTTCCATTAGTATGGCTATCTGCCAGTAAACTTGTTTAGCTGTGGCAGTGACACTTTCTTAAACTGACCAAAATGATAATCTGTATGCTACTCTTCTTACCCAAACACAGTACAACTCTTCTACTGTAAAGGCAGTGGCTGTCACTTGAGACATTGTAGATATGGAAAAATACTTTTTAGCTTTTTTGCGTTCTTGAAAATTGTTATTTTCTGCCTTAAGCAATTATGACAGTGACCTATATATGTTGTATATCAGTAACAATGTTTAATACAGTCTTGCTCTCCAGAAGCAGATGAAATGCCCATGAAGATCCAAATTTGTCATGTCTGTTAAGAGTTTAGATATACTAATTTTGTCAGTTCCCATCAGAAGTCAAATACCTGAACTGAGCTATTGTCCCAGAAGTTCAAAATCTGACAGGCAAAGGACTACTAAAAGTTTGTTCCTCTTTCTACTGTTACGACAGGAAATCCTGAGTTCCAGTAGCTGAAATTTTTTCATTGTGTGGCATCAACTCCTATATTCAAACAATAGGTAAGTTCTGCTGCACTAGGGAGTCAGGATACAGGAGGGTTTATTTCAGTGTATCAGATGGCCAGCTGAACTACAGAGAGCCAAACACTGAAGAATGAGTGTTTTTTCCTTTATTTGGCCATGCTGACACAATTTATTCCTTGCATTTTCAGCACCTGCATGATTGGCTTTACATATTTTTCCAACATTAAGAGACTAGTTTAGCATGAATATTCAGATCTACATACAGACCAGTGCAAAAGGCTTGTTGTTTTTTTTTTTTTTCTTGTGTGTTACTAACCTGATCGCTCAATCCTACCATATGAATAGTAATGGATATTTGCTGGTTTGGGGTTTTTTTGTTGTTGTTGGTGGGTTTTTTTTCTGGTGGTGTTTTTGTGTGTGTGTGGTTTTTTCAAATGGCTTAATGACCAGTGTAATCTAGAACTTATTATGTAGAGATTCTGTGGACTTTATTTCAGCTGTTTTCAAGCAGAACAAAAATTGGTTCTAAATGCATCAGGAATTAGCAACAAATGTTATAAGCATTTCTACTTGCTTGGTTTGTTCTAGTTATTCTCAATACACACCAGTAAAACAATGTACTGGAGGCAGTAGAATGCTATGAGGGCACTTACAACTATGGCCTGGCTTGCATAAAAAGTGGTGTAGAGTTTTGCCAGTAATGAGAATTCAGAACCCAGTTGCTGCCCCTTGCTCGTCTGAGTAATCTTTATATTAAGGTTTGGCAAAGGCCGTTTGAGTGCAGTATGATGAAACTTTGCACATTACTTTGTCCCACTACATCTTTCCCACCCTTGTCAAGAGTGGTACTGACAGAGGACTTGAATAAGAAATGACATTCAATATGCTGCTGTTGGACCGATGAATAAAGCTTAGCTACTGCATGTGTTGTGCATTGTTCAGAAAAAAAAAAATTAAAATATCAGGCTTTATTAAAGAATCTGATACAAATTTTAGTAAAACTCTGGAGTGTTGCGGGCTCTGCCTCTTACTGGGGGTTGAAAATCTTGGAATATTTTTTTTTTAATGTTAGGAATGTGAGAAATGAGGCAACTAAACTATTAATTTGGGGTGTTAAAAGATCCAACTCCGTAGCATGCTGACTGTTTTTCCCCTTCTCTTGTAACATTTTTCTCCTTCCTCTTCTCCTGTCCCCCTTCTCTCAATTGTACTTTGCGTTATTGTTTGCTTTATCATGATACATAAATGAATTTTACTGAAGGCTTGAATTTGTCCCTTCAAAAATAGCAGTAATACAAGAAATACTGACGTGTAAGAATTCAAAGACTAACTGTCACGGGTGGCTAATACCCCTTTGTCTGCAATGCACAAGGTCCGGGAATACGAGTTGCAAGTTGCCAGACCAGTCTGAAGGATCTGGCAGAACTTGGTCGGTTTTGTACATACCAAATACACGGGTAAACTACATTTCACAAGAACCAGAACAACCCAAGGCCAGTCTTTTAGTGCTCTTAGCTCTTGTAATGTTCTTGTGAATGACAAGTTTGTCCACAGCAGGAGCCAGTGTGAAAGAAGAAACTCCTCCCTCTCTCCTGAGACAAGAGCTGGGCAGCACAGAAGCTGGTGCAGTGCTGTCTCTCCGGCGTTTACTGCGTCAGAGATGGGGAAGTCGATTAGAAAGCAAAGTGAGATGTTCCTTTTCCCCTTTTCCTTAATGGCTGGTCTGGGAAAGTAGCATTAAAAACAAAACAAAGGGGAAAAAAAAAAACCAAACCCGAACACATTTGAAAAGATGCAAAGAGCACCTTGCCCAATTTTTTGATGTGAAGGACATGGAGCATTCCAGTTGCTGGAACACATGTGAGTTTAGGTTTATCAAATAAAATGGAGATAAGTCTAATGGGACTTATACAAATCTGGGTTCTAGAGGTGAATTGGAGAGGAAAAATTAATTGCTGGGCAAGGTCCAGGTGTGTGGGGGAGCTGAAATGGGAGATAAATACCACCTTATGTGGGGTAGGAAGCACCATATATCACCTCGTAAGCGTAGCTTGGGAGCATGCGGGATATGGGCCGAAGGTGTATGTATATATTGCTTTTCACCCTCCAAAAAAGTGACAATTCTTTTGAATTGTGACTTTTTCCTAACCTAGACCCTAGTGCTGCATTCTCATTCCAGAAGCGTCGAACTGGTTCCTGACACGTTGCTGCTGTTGGCTGTCAGCCTGTGATGCTGCATTTTACTAATTAAACGGGGGATACTTGGGACTGGAGAATCTCCAGCACTAGCTTGTGGGGCTGAATTTCCTCCTGAAGATATAAAAGGATTATCTGCCATGTGCAAGGGCCATCTAATTTCACTGGGCCTGTTCCAGCACTGTGTGTTTTCCCTTATTGTTTGATTCCCGCAGGTGCCAGCTCTCCTGTGCTCTCCCTCGCCTCGGTCCGCGAGGAGGTGGAAGCAGTGACCCAAGTACCAGTACAGGGAAGGAGCAGGACCAGTTTCTTGGAAGGCAGGCAGAATACCAGGCAAGTCTCTCCTCTGACCACCTCCATCTTCTGGTACTATGGAGGAGTTAAAGATTGTCAATGCTTTGGGTTTGGAAAATAAGACAAAATAACCCGGTTGTAATGGATAGGTACTTAAAAAGGAGAAAAGGAATGTTTTTTTGAAGTTGTAAGGGGAGCTCAGTTAGCCTATGTAAGTAATATAATTTCACTTCCAAACTTCACAATTGCAATTTTACAATTCTGAGTGACTGAGGCACTTCTCTTGCCAGTCTACAAGCCTGCATTACTCAGTGGAGTTTGGTTTTTAAGGGGGTTTCCCTCAAATTTTTCAGAGCTAGCAAATTGTGGAAGGTCTCTGACTCAGCTGTAATGTGTCAGTGTTTTTCCAGGTGTTTTTCTAAGGTGTTAATAGATTTTCTTCTTGAACAGATCTTCCAAATAATTTTTCTGCCCTTTAAGATGCCATACACTTGCAAACATTACATCTTCAGATGTAAGCTTTATCTCATTTACCAAACTAATAAATATTCTCTGCCCAGGTGCAAGGTTTACAGCCTGCATTCTGTTTGCAAGATTTTCTCCTCACTCCCGTATCTTGGAGTTCGGTTATTAATCAGTGATACTTTGATACTTTTATCAACTTCGTCATCTAGAAGAGTACAGGCATCACCTTCAACTCATATGCAAGACTGAATTACACTTTTCTTTTTGATTAGACTTATATAAGAACAGTAACTGATTGAGGACCCACCCAAAGTATTTAGAGTCCAGTTCTACAGGGTGAGTACTGTCCTTCACTCTGCAATGATCTTACGTTATGCATTGCCACTTATATTGCCACATTCCCTGTTTTGCTTCCATTTTTCATCCAAAGGCCCTTGGCTACCATTTGGCTTAGCTAAAATGCTGTCTTAGCAAAAATTGAAAGCTGAAGGTTTACATGTATGCCTGCGAAAGCCCGTTACAATAAATGAGCGCTCTGTCAGTGGGGTGGTGTGTTATGCTTTGTGGGAGATCTGCTTAAGTAGGTGAATGCCTTGCTCCAGGCCTTGATCACTTATTCCCACCTCCAAGCCTGTATCTTGCTCTTCAGGCACAAGAGGCTTTATGGTGAATCAGCTCAGGATACGATGACCCACTAAAACAATAATACAGTTAAGAAAATTAAAGGCCCTGTATTTTTAGCTGGGTAACTTCCCTATTTTAGCTTGGTGTGGCACCAAGCAGGAGATAGCCAGAATTCAGAGGTGGTAGAGCAGGATGGGGCAAGAGAGGGTGGGATGAGGGGAAGACAGAAGGTTAACTGCTTATGGGGCTGAAAAAAGCTACTTGCAAAAGAAAATTTACGTGAGATCTTGAGTAATACAGGCTTCTACAAACTTGCATATTGGTGGAACAGTCCTTTTGTTAATTTCCATTTACCCGTGTTTTTTTGTGCAGAGTTGATTACGAATTTCTGGATGGTTCATGAGATTTGTCTTCTCATGTCATTTGAGACATGTTTTGAGATTTGTGGGCTTGCATCTCTTTAGCCTTGTATGACCTCTGAGACTAAACCTGCCTGTTAGCTTTACTAGTACAGTTGTTTATCAGCGTCAACTTGTTAAAGACTCAGATACTACAATAACAAAAAAAAAATTAGTTTTATTAGAAATGAAATGACATAGAAAAGGCTGAAGAGCAGATGTTTATAAGCTTCTGCAAAGCACTGCCCTTCACAGTATAGCAGGTACTCCGGCAAGAGACAGGAGCAGCGACCCTCAACAATATGGTACTTGAAAGCAACTGCCTATTTTTAGTAGTATATGAGCAGTTCAGTGAATCCCAACTATAACTTACAGTCCACAAGAATGTGGTGGAGGTGAGTAGTTGTGCAAGTATAGAGCACGCAGCTTTATCAACCTGGGTGGACTTGTTTTGCCATGAAAGACACCAGTAACTAGAAAAAAAATTGATTGACATCAGTGACAGACAATTGAAAGGGGAGCTTTATTAGGTGAAAGAGGGAGATCTAATGAAATGGTTTTCAAATGCTGTTTGCTTCATATGGATTAATGATGCAAGGAAAGAAGCTTGTTAAGTGATTCAGACCCCTCCAACACTTTCAATGAAGATACGGATAAAGTACATTTCCCCACATCCAAATTATCTCCTACAAAATAGGGAAAACTAGACTATTTCTAGAAGGAAAAAAATGCAGGTCAAACACTAAAAAATTCAGGTCTTCTTTGTATGCAATAGAGGAACAAAATAGAACAACAGTGATAAAGGTTTGCAAGTCACTTGTGACTTTTTAAATATATAGGCACAGATAGCTAACGCACCACATTAACTATTCTGTATCTCCCCCTACCTGAAAATGCATTAAATTGTTAAACAGCTCTCTCCCATCAAGAGTTGGCTGTCCTAAACTTTAGTATTTCTTCTATTGCCAATGACTATTACCAACAGAAGGAACAGACAGATGTTCAAAGTAGATGCTACCTACATATGTAGTCCAATTTTACCAGGTGCTAGTTACCCTCATCACCCATAGTAACTGGGCAAGCAAAATGCTTCCAAATCAATAAAACCTTGAATTTAACATCATTGATCATTGACAGAAAGTCTATTCACTGATAGTTAAAGAACATATTTTCCAAAGGTAGTAGGTACAAGTATATTGTTCATGCCACTTACTAAAAAACTGGGACACAGTAATGGTAAGTGAATAAAACAATTTCTGAACTTATTCTTAAAAAAATTGTCTTGTCATGACAACAATTACAATGAGGCTGAATCAACTACATCCACTTGTTTTCAGGTTCTGCGTTTGGTTCTGAATTAAACAGGGTTCAGTTTGTACACTCTTATAAATCAGATTAAATTCATATATCTTTTTTTACCAAAATAATTATTAATCCTTTAAAAATGCCGATAAAAAGGTATATGATAATCCAATTTTCAAAACCCCTTGTCTTAAATATATTTTTTTCCTATTAGGATATAAAAAAAGGGAAGGGAAAAGCTTTCATGCAAATATTCTGAACAGTGTGATAATATTCAGTAGAACCACTAAAACCATGAACTTTTCGGTAATCGTTCTGACTTTCCTTTTAGTAGCATACAAACCAGGGTGTAACCTCAGTTCCCCAGCAGTAACTTAAGCTTCTTGTTTGAACACCCCCAAAAGCCCCATACAAGAGGTGATCTATTTCCACTTCAAGTCACATACTAGTGCTATATGATCAGAAGGATGTGAAACACTTGGCAAAGCCTGATGGGTTGTTACTTCTTCATGACTTGGCAACGGAATGACCTGTTCAACCTCTAAAGCATTTTTGTCAATGAAAATGTAGTCCAGACATCCATGAAACCCACCAACGTAGTTTGTATAAGCAGGTTCTCCGCAAGCACTTAGCAATTTGAAAGGATGGCTTAGAGGCATATTGCACCTTTCTTCTTCACCATTGGAGACCCAGTCTTCGTGATCTTCAGCAATGACACCACTGCTAATAAAACTATAAGTTCCAGATGATGGTATACTATTGAAATCTCCACAGAATATGATTGGTATACTAGGATACAAGTCACATGCTACATGCTTGATGTGAGACAAGGCTACAGCAGTTTGGATGAGACGGATGTTCCCACCTAAGAATATAAAAATGTGTTCCTTTAAATACTTCACAGTACCATTGGAGGAATTTTTCAAGTTGGTCATTAAACATACATCATGTATAGCCCAGAAACAGCAATCTCATTTTACAGTTTATGTGCACTACGTTTTAGAATAGTTTTCATAAATAAAGAAGCCTTTGAAGTTTGTGACTATGCAAGTTTTAGAGAGGCAATGTTTTAAACTTGCACATGCAAGAACTCTAAACTTTAAACACCCGTGTAACAGCAGTGTTCCATTTTGTGGCAACCATCCTAATAATGCTCCTGAAAGGCACAGAACTAAAAGAAATCTAAAAGAGAAGAATCTCTTCTAAAAGCTTCTGTAGCCTGATCTGGTCATCCAACAGGCAGTACGCCAATATAGCTCCTTCAAGTACAATAGGATTGGGAAGCCACGAGCACACACAAAGCTATCTGTGTTTTATGGTCTACTCTGTGGATGAATTGTGTGTAACATGACTTGCCTTGCTTTCAGCTGTATTCTACTGACTCCTAAGTAGACTAGAACAATTTTACTCTAAGGAAAATAAATAAACAAACAGACCTAGCAGCCTGGATTGATTCATCTAGATAAGAAGCAAGGCAGGAAACCCTCAGTTCAGAAGAAAAGGCTATAGCTGCAAAAGAATGGGGGGAAATCTATTCTCCCTAGGAAGGACTAAAACCTTTACAAACCCAGTTAGCCTACACACAGGAACATGACAAAATTACCTTTTGGGTGCCAGTATAGGTGGGTATTAGCTACACAAATCTTCCTGGAAGGATCAGTTGCAGACTGAAGAACTGAAACCTTCAAGAGAAAAAGCAATCTTTGGTAAGTCTTAAATAGAGAGATCATATATTAAAAAATGCAATAGTTAGCTTATGCCTTTATATCAATCCAGTTCAAAGAATTTGATGATTATAACTAACAAACAGTACAGCTCTTAAGTTGAGTCTATTTATCTTATAAGGTTTGAGTATCAGCCAAGATATTACCACTACATCCAGGTATTTGACAAATGTTCTTTTGTCCCTAAGTGTCTGGTTTGGCCATATTTTTTCCTTCAATCCATTCCGTATTTTTTCATAATATGTTGTTAATACTGTACCATTCTTAACTACTTTTATTTTCTATTCTCCCACCTTTGCAACAGAACTAGAGCTACATCTCTGGTTTTAGCAAGCAAACTGTAGCATAGCTGTTGAATGTAAATTTAGAGGTGATTTCAGTTATCAAGGAAAGCTTGTTAGTCCTACTCAATGCACAAGTAAGAAACTTTTATCAATGAGTATTTCTGAAATTCTGACACAGATCTGTATCTTACACATTGATACCTACACAATAGCTCTGCTGGCAGACCCACTGGCATCAACAAGCTCACAAACCTGTCCAACCTTATTTTTCTCCCTACTGTCACTTTCTAAAGTGGCGTTATTAAAACAAGCTACATGAACTTACTCTTGTTTAGAACTGATTGACAAGATTTAAGTTTTCTGAAATACATATTTGAACATATGAGAGTAAGTAGGGGAAAACTTAGCAGCCACAGCCTGGCCCAGAATTTCAACAGCTGTCTTCATCTTAAAACAAAGAATCATTTTGCCTTTTTTACCAAATTTTGGTAATTCCATATATGCAGTTCAGTAAAGGCTCAATGTTTTGTTCTTGTTCCTAAGTCACTCTTCTGCTCTATTCATTACTTTAGCTAACAGAGAACATGTGTTGTCTGTGTTTCAGACTGTTAATCCCTCACCTCCCTCTTTCTGTGGTTTGATGCTCAACAAACCTAGCCTGGCTGCACCTGCCACTGCCAGGAGACAGGGGGAGGAGGAGGAGAAGAAAGAGGAAGAATGCACCTAAAGGCTGGTACCTGCAGCACAGACGACCTCTGCAGCACCTTCTCCTGTACCAAAGGGTACTTGGCCAGCTTATCACACAACTCCTTGTGCAGCGGGTCCGAGAGCAGGACTTCGCTGAAAGCTATGTCGTGCTGGCTAAGGAGGCTGAACTTGTCCCTGCGGTAGAAAGTGGCCAGGCCTTCGTGCTGCTTCTCCTTAATCTTGAAGAGCCCTTCGAGTCCAAAAGCATCTAGGGCTGGAGCCAAGCTGTCCACGAAGACGGACTTATCCACCTCTTGGAGGCAGATGAGGTCGGCACTGTAGCCCGCCAGCTCCTTCTTCAGCAGGTTCTGCCGGTAGTCGAGCTCCAGGGCGTACGGGGCGCAGTAGGGGTAGAGCACCGTGCGGGAGAACTCCGTCTGGGCGTAGGTGTCGGCCAGGATGTTGTAGGAGACGGCGCGGATGGAGCCCTCGCCGCAGACCTTCTTGGTGTAGAGGTGCCGGGAGTCGAAGGTGCAGGCGCCGGGGCCGGCCTCCACC